ATGTTGTGAAGATTGTGTCCACCAACAATAAATCCCCTCTTTGTATATTGTTGTTATTAACACATTTCAGCTCAAGAATGGATTGGCTAAAACATTAAGTTAACAACAGCAAATAAACAAAGAGATTCAAGTATCCAAACAATGCTGGATATTTCCTGGCTGAATTACTGCAATGAGGGAGTTATTATTTTTATTCAGACTAGTATCCTCATCTTTGTTGCTATTATCACAACATTTCCCCGAAGATTAACTAACCAGATTGTCAGCTACCTGAAGAAAGCTGGAGAACACTGGCTGAAACGTTGGGATAATAACAACAAAGATGGGGACAATATGCCAAAAGTAATGCACACACTTAAGATAATTTCTAAGGAATAAATAACTTGTCTCTGACCAAAAAGCATAATCAAAAATTTAGAGAGACTATTCTTATAACACGCTTTGTAGCACTTATAAGTAATGCTTCGGTAACTTGCTGTGACACATGTATTAATTACTCTGAAGATTGACTCTAAACGACCTTTTCTTCTCTATTTACCAACCTCCTCATAAGGCAAGATGTGGCAAAAGGCCAGTTTTTAATGTGGGGCATTCTGAGCCTGGAGGCTTGGGAAAAAATAGCCTGTAGACCCTGTATACACAGGGTTGGGTTTGTCTGCCTCCCCAAATGAGACTCTGTCCTTTGGCATAGCCTCGTCTGGGTTCCTCTCTGCCTGGAGGTAGAGTTCAACAAGAACTTCTTACATCTGACCTGGAGCTCTTTATTTATAGTTATGGACTAGTTCATATAGTCACCAGGGGGGGTACTATTTACTCCACAACATCCCCACTTTTTGAGATTAATACTTTTTATAAATATTTTATTATTTAGTAGTAGTATCTCTCCCTCCTCTTTCTGGAGAATTCGCCAACATACTTGACTTTGTAGCATTTTCATCTCAGATCCATTTCTAGTTCTTCAGTACGCTTTCTTTTTCTGGAACTTGTCGCTATAGGTTCCAGGACTTGTGACACCGACACATGAAAAATATTTTATGGGTTCTTCAAATGTTTCATGGCTTTCATTGATGAACCTTTTTTCAGCTGATTATGGTATCTTTTATGTTCAAATCTTTCCTCTTTTACCATGTAAATCAACTTCCCAATTCTTGCAGATATTATGCCATCTTCCTACATTTCTTTGCCATCTTTATATGCTCTAAAGAACACTATCACCAACCTTGAAACTTTTGATGTAGTTTTTGTTATCCATTCGTGTTTTTTGACTTGGTAATAACTTGTCGAACACCAATTTTACTTTTCTAGCAAACATTAATTTCACCTAACCCCATTACTCCTGAAAGTGTATTGGAGTTAGGTGTTATTCAGTAAACTCTCAGAAAATTTTGAAGTACTTCCACATTTACTTTCTCAAGACTTGCTTTCTTCAGTACTCTTTTCAACATTCCCACCGAACTTATCCATTCAACCTTGGGTGATACACGATGGGGTCATAATATGTTCAATGGAGAACATCTTACAAAAGTCTTTGAATTCTTTACCCATGAATTGCATTCTGTTATCACAGACTATGGTATCTGGTACGCCATATCTTGCAAACAGTTCATGCAAGAAAGTTACTGTCACTGAAGATGATGGATTTTTGCACTTATAAATTTCCGGCCATTTAGTGAAGCTATCAACAACCACACGATAATATGATCCATCCATAGAACCTACAAAATCTATATGCAGTCTTGACTATGGTGTGTCTACCTTTGGCCAAGGTTCTATCTTTGTGAAAAGGTAGTTTTGCTGCCAGAGGACAACCTCTGAAAATTTTCACTATTTTTTCAATACCTTGGTTCATTCTGATCCAATATATGAAACTTCTCATCAGAGATTTAATTTTTGAAATACCAATATGTCTGCTATGAAAATCCTTCAATATTTGCTTCTGTAACACACTCGGATTTACAACCATTGCATAGCAAGTAAGTGTTTAAGTCTGGATTTTGTTCTTTGTTAATTTCTTTCAATTGATTTGTTTTTATTTTTCGCAAAAGACAATTTTCAGCTTTTTCTTTTATTTCTTCCAGGGTAACTTGTAACTTTCATACTATGTTGCACAAAATGCTTTTTTTATTTCCATTTTGCTTTTTAGTGCTGCAATGACCATGTCTTCAAATGGTTTCGCACTTTTAGATATTAATCTTGATAATCCATCTGCTTGTCCTAATTTTTTAGACGGTTGGTACTCCATCGTAAAAACATAGTTTAATAAGATAGTACCCTGGCATCTATTAGCTGTATGCATAGGTAATTCCTTTCTTATTGTTAATATATGTCTGTGGTGTGTTTGCAACCTAAAATCTTTTCCATGAACAAATTTATGCAATTTCTTCATAGCAAATATAATTGCTAAATCCTCTTTTTCTATGTGGCTGTCATTTTTCTCTGCTGGTAGAAGTGAGCATGAAGCATGAGCGAAGGCTTTCATTTTACCACCATCGTATTTGTGTAAAATCATCGCTCCAATACAGCGCTCATCTGATGCCATTACAATTTCTGCTTTTGGATCGTAGTGTGCTAATGATAAATCTGATGTAAGTCTTTTATTTATTTCATCAAACACCTTTTGACAGTTATCATTCCAGTTCCACTTTACTCCTTTTTTAAGTAGACCATTCAGTGGAGCACTCAAATTATGCATATTATGTACATATATTTGATAGTAATTAGCCAGTCCTAGAAAAGCTTGTAACATAGTTACATTTGTTGGTGGAGGCATATTTTTAATTGTACTTGTCCTCAACAGATCTGGTTGACAACCATTTTTATCAATAATTTGACCAAGGTATTTCATTTTTGGTAAAAACTATTTGCTTTTTTCTTCACTAAGCTTGAATCAGTACTCTTAGTTTTTCCAAAATTGTTTTCACCTGCCCAATATGTTCTTTAGATCCACTTTTGATTAAAATGTTGTCCAGATACACTATTGCAAAAATTGCAAGCATGGTATCCATAGCTTGTAGAAAAATAGTTGGGGCCACCTTTATACCAAAAGGAAGTTGGTTGTATAGTACTGTGTGTATTTATGGTCATTAATTCTGAACATTGATTTTCAATCTGAATTTGTAAATACACTTCAGAGTGATGTAAGTAGCCAGTCCATCATTCAGGAGTCCAACCAAGTTGCTCTTTTTATTAACATGGGCAAAACCTTACCTAGACCTCTGCCCAAATCAGCCAGTTGCTACATGAGGCAGCTTACATTTTGTTTTCTTTTCACACTGCTTGTTATGGTCCCCCAGCATGAGGCAAATGTAAATATATGTATATAATTTTGTGTATGACTTAGCAGTATAAAACTCTCTCTGAGAACAAATTCTTTCAGCTATTCAATTCCATTTGTGAAATAAGGTGTTATTATGTCATGGATATATTAATGCCCATAATGGGGGAAATGCAACCTAGGAAATTATTCCATAGCTCAGCCATTATCTGATGACTTACCCAATATGATGATATTATCATCACGCCTTTAGTATCATTTTCATACATGTGTACTAAAATACCAAAATCAAAATGTTTTTGTTGTCAATCAAAATAAAGGAAATAAATGCAATCAAATAAAAAATTTTGAAGTAACTTCCCTGATCCCAAAACTTGATCAAAATTATAAAAATTTAACTTGGTACCAAGATATTGGAATATGGGTGTTAAGTCAATATATAATACCTAGATATTTACTGAAATTTCAAAACCAAACTGACACTACCCACTAGCTATGGGTTTGGTACCATATATGGTACCACCTTGAGTAAGTTGATATGCTTAAAGGGTTGTCCCTCAACACATCAGCTCTGTGATTCATTCTAATAACACAGGTATATTGGACAAGAGAACACAACCAATGCTGAGAGTGTTTCAGTAAAATAGCCACAAAATATTTTAGCACAGGTGTAAAAATATAAAATTTCCAGAGTGGTGGTGTCATGAAGTTCCTTCGAAAGTACAATGGTATTCATGACATCTTGAAATCAGACATAAATTAATTGAAGGCAAGAGAAGCAGAGGAAATCAGAAAGTAACCCTACTGTTATGTTTAGTGTTGTCTCTAGCTGCAATTCTCCAGACACTAATGACAATTTTCTTTTACTTGCTTTGTTTCATGAAGGACAGGAGCCGTAACATTGTTTCTAAGTGGAAGCAAGTAGGAGGAGATAGAGAGGATGCATGCCAACTGGTTGACCAAAATCTCATGATCACATGCAGGCATACCTAAGGACCCTGGGTGCAGTAAGACATCTTGAACCATCTAATTCTTGCAGCCATCTGAGTATCTTTGCACCTTTTTAGTCTTATATCCAAAACTTAAAAGCAATCCATTGTCAGAATTCTAATCACAGAAGTTTCGAGACATCTCCTCTCACTTACTTTGGGGTTGTCAGAGTTCTGACCAGTAGTTGGCTATTTTGGCCCTGCCTACACATTCTGTAACCCTATTTGAGACACTTGGAAAAAATAATAGATGGAGGAACAAATACAGCAATAAACAAATACAGAGTCACAAATGGGAAAGTATTGCTGAGAACAAAAAGACAAGAAGCTGTAAAGGACCATGACAGGACAATTTTTTCTTTTTTAATCAATTCATCCCAAGAAAAGTGATAATGCCACTAAGATGCAAGTGGCTAATGGTAGCGAAAGAAAATGAAAAGATTTTTGAAGGAACTGGAAACCCAATCCTAAACAGGGAACAAGGGATAAACCTCTAGTGCTGTTCAAAACACCAGAGGAGTGTGAATCAGATGATAGGCAAACTTATCTACAAATTGTAAACAACAAGAAAATACTGCCTCAAAGATGTCTCATCAGAAGTTGTGAATCGACTCATAAAAACACAAATTAAAATCCTTTGACTTGTCTTGAACTGAAAGAAATAATTCAACGTTGATTCAGTTTAAATCAACCTGAAAAAGATTAAAAGAAAAAACTAAACCTGTAAATCTGCAAAGTTAACTTACCTGCCCTCTTTTTAAACCAAAATATCGGGCAACTGGATCTCCTTGTTGGATACGGGGCAGCTGAGATTCTTTCAATTTACTGGAATTCAAGTCAAGGAGAAAAGATAAAAATCAAAAAATCTAAAAGTATTTGAACAAAATAACAAATATTATTCCATGCAGCAATTCTGTTTTAATTGTAATCCTGAGTCAGAGGCAGAAGCGAGGAATGAAACCAAAACTTGTTGATCTCTGATTTGATATAATTTTCAAGAAATGTGTTAGTTAAAACTTAGCCCAGGTTGATGGCCAGTCTAGACTGATTCTGCATGTCAACAAAATGTCATGGAAAAAATGCTTCGGTTTTTGTATCACACAAAAAAAAAACACTAACCTATTCTAATGGAAGCAGTTTCAAAATGGTTTCATGCTCCATTATACCAATGACTATGGATTGGAGTCTGACAGAATGATAAGATAAAGAACAAATAGGAAACATATATCAGTCTAACATGTTTCACTTTTATTAATGCTTCCTCAGAGAATGAAATATGGAGAAAAAGAAGAAAGAATTTTTGGTATTTTTATTTTTGTGCTATTTGATTTTCATTGGTTAATCATGTTTCACGTGCATTCGATTCTTTTTCAGGTAGGCTTGGAATCCATTAATCTATTGAAACTTTGGACAGATGCATAATCTCTCCTTGAATTCAGAACATCACAAATTATACTAACTTTGGTTTAAAAGAGTCAAATGCTTTAATACAATTAAAATTTGTTACTTAAGAGAAGTGATGTTATATTCAGCTGCTCAACTCCAGAGTTTCATAGACAAAACCTTTTTGTAATCTTTCAGTCCACTCATCAGGAGATTTCAGCAATTGATTACCATTTTTCATTATCTCTATACTAAGTTTGGTTTAATTATTTTATGTGCTAGTTGGGATGCTCTTATTATTAGTGTTATGTTGATTTTTTTTTCTCTTTTTGTGTGCATGTGTGTGTGTGTGTGTGTGTGTGTACATATATATGTGCATATATGTTAAATGTCATAGTTATTTATTCTTTTCATTATTTTCATTCTCTCCTTATACCTTTTCCTTCTTTTTCTTTCAGCTCTTAAAATCCAGTTAATAGTCTGGAGAGGTTCATTCTGAATGAAACATGTCAGAATACAATTTTATGTCTTGTCATTTATTCACTGATGTGTGTGTGTGTGTGTGTTCAGAAAAAAGGAAAAAGAAGAGGAAACATAAAAAAGAATCATAAGTGCATCAATGTATGCAGATTTAAAAATAAGAAAGGAAAGGTTATAAACAAGAAAAACTTCCTTCAAAATATTAAATATATTTGAGTTTTTTTCTTGCTTCAATAACAACTGTCATCCATAATCTCACTTAACTCATGAGAGCAAAAAATTGCATTAGACAACATTTCAAAGATGAAAGTTCTTTTAGAACTCAACAGATAATTCTTTGAAAAGGATACTATCTTTGTAGCAATTCTGATTTTTCTTCAGGGGTCATCACAACATGTTCAGGTACCAACTGAAAATATATAAAAGACATACAAAATGCTTAAATTGTGTGTTTGCACACACACACATATATATATATATATATGTGTATATATATATACACACACAAACACACACACAGATACAGTTCAAAAGTTTGAGGCAACCTGTGATAATTTTTTTAAATTGACCCCAAAAGTAGTTGTTTTGTGCTTTAAATAAAAGAAAATTATTACAGATGGTTAAAAAAATAGTGAGACATGATTACTTATTAAAAATTTCTTTATGACAAAGAAAAAAAAAAATTTAATGATATAAATTTGCTCTCATCCTTTAGTCTTCATTACTGAAGCACAAATTTTTGGCATTTATTGTAAAAGTTTCTCAAAGTATAATTTTGATGACTCTACCAGCTCTTTCTCATTTTTTGAAATCTTTTGAACTGTAGCATATATATATATATATATATATAAGATTATAAACAAAAAGATGTTGAAATCACTATACAATAGTTTTGTGTTTCAGCACTATGTTCTTCTGCCTGAAAAGGCACTTTAAAAAAAAAAACAAAAAAAAAGACTGAAATTTTACTTCATCTGTTCTTTTCTCGTGTGTGTGTGTATATATATATATATATATATATATATATATATATATAGTACAGGTAATAGAACCGTTGGTATGTAATCCAGGTGGATCCTAGTAATATCACATATTAAGACTGATCCACACAAAGAGCTAAATGTATTTATTATAACAGAGCATGTATATTATACAGCAAAAATCAAAATTACCTCATGTGGGTGTAGTCTATTTCAGACTAGCACTGTTATATGCCAGTTTTCAGTCTTCAGACTGCCATATAACAGTGCCAGTCTGAAATAGTCTACACCCACATGAGGTAATTGTGGATTTTCTGTTGTATAAAATAATATATATATAGACAGATAGATTCAATAAGCCAGTTAATGAAATTCAAGGATTAAAAAGATAACAAAATTATGAAGATATTGTCAATAAGACTGATGATATTTATTTTATATCAGAAGGCTTTTTGAATATATATCATATATATATATATATATATATATATATATATATATATATATATATATATATATATACAGGGGTTAGACAAAATAATGTGAACCTATGGCTTAAATATTCATTTACTGACTAATAAGGTGTTGGACTTCCATTGGCTTCAAAAATAGCTTTGATTCTATGTGTAATGGAATTAAATAAGTTTTGAATTGTATCCAGTGGAATTTTATCTCATTCTTCAATCAAAATCTCAGAAAGTTGCTTCAGTGACAATAGGGGAGGAAATCTGTTCCTCATTCTCTATTCTAGAACTCACCATAATAGTTCAGTTATGTTGAGATCAGGTAATTGTGCCTGGTTATGGAAGATGTTTAATTACATTATGATGCTCATCAAATCAAAACTTCACTTTTTTTGCAGTGTGTATGAGTACATTATCATCTTGGAATATGGCACTTTCTGGCAACAGTATGGTAGACAATGTAAAGACATTATGATTGAGAATGTCAAGATATTTATCTGCAGTAATTCTACCGTTAAGAGTGATGATAGTGCCAGAAGAATATCAGGAAGTGTCCATGCGTTTAATTCCTGAAGATGATAGCAGGAGGAAGACAAGAAAGTGGGTGTGCTTGTATGTGTGTGTGTATATCATATTTCTAATTGATCTTGTAGGAGTTGGTGGTGTCTGTATGTGTTTTGATTGTTGGTTAGATGTGCATTATTAGTGTAAATTCTATGGTAGAGGAAAAAATTAGATGCGTGGGTGTATTGGTTTATATTTATATACCAACATAAAATTTCCCAATATGCATGTTTTCTCCCCCACCCTTAAAATAGCTTTGTGAAAAAAGAAATGTTGGAGGCTTGATAAATTTTTAGAGATGGTATTTTGAACAGAGGCTATTTGAATAAAATATTGTAAATACTAAAATGTTGAATTCTTGTCATTGGAAAAACGTTCTAAATTTATTTCTGCAAAGGTCGTGACAATTTTGTGAAATTATGAACAATAGATTTGTTGACATTACTTAGCATCTTTTTCATTGTTTGTTCTCTTTTCATTCCGTATAAATCTCTATTGATTTTATGATTTGCAGGACCAAGCAGCATCAGCCACTTGTTAACCAATTTGGTTGATGCTTGAAACTGAAGTTACAAAACAGTTTTACTCGTCCTTCTCACTATTTAACGTCAGTCTCGGTGGGTAGCGAAAAATAATTATTCAGGGAACATAACTCTTGATAATAAAATCACGTAATTCACTCCCTTATCTTTCGTGTTATAAAATATTGAATTTCATAGAGTGAATGCATTTCACTCATTTTTCTTAAAAACTTCCTACATTCCAAAATTGAAAATAAGACTGTTACATACCCCTATTATACAGTCTTGACTAATGTAGGCTAATGCTATTGGCAAAATATTCTCAAAATTAATGGCAGCACATTTTATACTTTAATCTCTAATACATGCACTTCATTATAAACTGAAATGTGTCATGCCATAAAAAATTAAATTTTCAGACATTCTCATGGGTACTCTCTCAGATTTTTATGAAACTCAAGTATATGGTACCCACCTATGAGAAAAAAAAATAAAATAAAATTATAGCTTCCTTAGGTTTTTAGTTCAGGAGTTATAGCCTCTTGAAATTTGCTGTCATTTTTTGCTGATTTTAAAATAGCGAGATTTACCAAATTTGCTACTTCATAACTTTGCATTCTAAGATACCAAGTTGAAATATGGTGGTCCTGTAGTCTAATACACCAAGAAAATAGTTATATTTTTATTTTATTTCTGATCTATGTAGTTTCATAGTTAGTGGCCATTAAAGATGGAGGAAATTACTATTTTGCTTATATTTTGTTTATTTTTCCATCTATAGAAGCTAAATCATTGGTAATAAAAGAAAAAAATAAAGTTGATTATAATCATTTGATGATTTGCCAGGTGAAAAACATTGAAATATTGCTTTTACAAGAATTACATAATTCCTCATGACAAAAATTTGCTATACCCTTTGAAAAAAAAAAAAAAAATTATTCATTTTTCAAAAGCTAGATCAGTCCCTTGTCTTTCATTTATAAATACTGAAAAAAATTCATTCATTACTTAGTAAACTTGCTATAAAAAAATGACAGACACCAGAGAAAGATTCTGCCTTTCCAATTCAGACTAGGTACAGACCTTTGACCCTTAGAATCAAATAATTTGATATGCTCTTATTTTAAAATATAGGGTTTCAATTGAGGTTTTACTTGTTTGCTTAATTTTGGAGCAGCTCCAGCACCCACTCCAATCCGAAAATTGGAAGAGGGACCCCTTCATGCTCCAGCTCATACACCTTAAGAAAATTATTTTGTCATTTTATTCATGATACACATTTGCTTAATATGCGAAATATTCTGTCAATATTAGTGGAAATTGCAGTAAAAATTCCAAGTTCCAGTGTTTTCGCTAAACTTAAATTCTTATTTTCTGCATATGGTTTTCAATAATAAATTAGAAGTCTTAATCAAAACTAGAGCTGCACCCTATCCTTAGCTATGAAAGTTCATTAAACACGACCCTAATAAATAATTTAACGTTATAATAAATTTCAGTTTAAAAGAAAGAAGGTATTATATTTAATCATTGTATAATGTGAAGCAGTTGAAAACTCTAATAATACATTCTCAGTATTACATTTACAAGATACCAAGATTTAGTTTAAAAAACCAAGTACATATTCATATTTATTAAGACTTTTATTTCTATATTAATAATAATGAAGACTGGATGCTACTTTCTGAGTATGCCTGTCTCAAATGGTACCTAGTCAATCCCTGTTGCAGATGCCCATTCAGACACATTTGTGTTTCTTCAACATCCACAGAGCCCACCTTTGGTTTATACTTGCAACAATGCTGGGCAGAACTTAGTTTCTGGGAGAAATATTTTGGTTTTGTTTGTTTTTGCTTAGCAGCATATCAACCATTGTTTTTTTGTTTTTTTATAATGGTTTTAGGAATACAGGTGTTACTAATTAACCCATAGCTGTGGGGAGATAAGGTAGATCCATACCTTTCCCAAGGGTATTTGTATGTAAGTGAATATAACAAAACCCAACTAGAATTGGAACTTAGCTCACCGATTAACAATTTTGAGCTATTATCCATTACACCATCTCAAGGTTACAGCACCTGGTATTCCCAAGCAGTCACCCACTGACCAGGCCTGTCATTTCTTAACTGGTGTTTCAATATGATGTGGCTGTAAGCCCTGGCAGTGAGAGCTGCCAATATAGTTTGATCAGTGGTTGAACAAAGCCAGTATGTTCCAACCATTGGCCAAAATGACTAGTGACTTCATTCTATCCCAACCATCATTGAACAGTTTGGTCTACCCAATTTGACTCACAAGGCTTGGGCCAACCCACAGCCTGTAACTATATACATATTAACTGTATATCAAAGTATGTGTTACCATATTGTGTGCATGAATTAACTGATGTTACTTTTGTTCTGAACTAACACGCAAAAATTCAAAGAAAAATGAAAAACTTACCATATGTGCTGTAATATTAACCAACAGCTCCGCCTCAAGAAAGTGTTCAAGTATATATTTGGGTGCCATGTCTACAAGAGCCTAAGAAATCAAAAGATAGATAGAATATATATTTTAATTACTTAAAAGTCCGAAAAATCTGAATGAATGGATATGAACTCTAATATGATTTCTCAAATATTCAAGCCAGTAGACAAAAATAAAGAAATTTACTGTTTAATAAATAAAGGGAGCATCTATTCAAATACTAGTATCCACTAAAAATAATATTTAAAGTGATAAAAATCTGTCAAATTAATAAATAACCCCCCTCTCTCCCTCTCTCTCTCTCTCTATATATATATATATATATACACACACACAAAAGTTGAAAAACCCTTTTACTATTGTTCACCCAATACAAAGCTCAAGAGTCTTTCAAGGTAGAATTTTATTAAATGAGGTTTTTGTAAGGGCATACAAGGAGGGAGCAAAAGGTTCATATTATGAGGATATGTAGGATAGATAATAGTTGAATCTAGACTTGAAGAGGTTAAGATTGTAGTGATTAAGGAAGAGACTGACAGGGACTAGCTTCTTACCAATGGAATGTGTACAGAATGAGTATATGTGGCATGACAGGTCCTTGCTGTGAAGGTCTGAACTGGTGAAACCAAATAATATAGCTGTCTGAACATTATGAAAATGATTGTACAGTAAAAAACAATTCACCACCCACAAGGGTGTAAAGATGCTTTTAGATTCTGTCAAGGTTGGAAAGAGAGGATTAGGTAGCTCCAGCCCATATTCGGGAGAAATACTCCATTTTTGGTCTAATGTGATCTAGTCATTTTTTTTATTTTTCCTCTTTTTAGATAAAAAACAAAATTATCAGGGATTCTAATCAAAATATAAAATCAAAGTTTTCCCAACTCAAGCAACAGGTTTTGGTGCAGAGGTTGACCCATGACTCCCAATCTATAGTTAAGCAGAAAGAATGAAAATCAGGCCAATCACATAAAACAGACCATACTCAATTTCAGTATTAACTAGATTTATGTTGTGACAAAATATATACAACTGAATTCCCAATCACAAGTCCCATAATTATTGGTCATGGGATTTGTGATTGGGAATATTATATATATATATATATATATATAAGTGAACACTGAAGTCAACACTCAAAGGTGACAGAATGTTTCATGCTAAGCACAATCATCAGGCCACATGTGTTGAATTTTTTTCTCAACTACTTATATATACGGGTCAGTGGTGCATTGTGGGTAGTCTATTCTAACGGTTATTTTGGCGGGAATGGCTTGTTAATTTGTTTATTTATTTATTTAATTATTTTATATATTTTTATTTATTCTTTTAGGTTTTTGATTTTTTTAAGTAGTAAAAATTTGGGATGAGTTCTGATTGTTTATTTAGTAGTTAGTTTTGGTCTGGGAAGGTAATTATAGCTATTTTTTCATCTGATTTTTGGATTGATTGTTGTAGTCTACTCTAATGGTTATTTTGACAGAAGTGGTTTGTTAATTTGTTTATTATTTACTTAGATTAATTAAACCAAACCAGAGTGACCAGAGTGAAAAAGGTAAATCCAGCAAGAGTTCAACAGTTCTGTGCTGACAGTTTTTTTGATCACACTTCTCGCTTGTGGAACTAACTTCCAGTTTCTTGCTTTCCAGTCAACTTTTAAATGCAATTTCAATCATTATCTTCTGTCTTCTTAATTCTTGTTCTTTATTACCCCTTCTCCTTAATAATGTTTTTTTTTTTAGTCTCTAACATTCAGTAATCCCTCGCATCTTAGTGGCTTTATTGCCTTGCTTTGGGTGAAATGATTAAAAAAATAAAAAAAGTATCCCATACATAAGTAAAATATAGAAAAGAAAATCATATCAACATTGAAAAAAAAAAAAAAAAGATTATTGATGCATTTTTTTTAGTGGAGTCTACTAATTCCTAACTTCCATTAATTGATAAGAAACATGGAAATATAGTTATCATATGACCTGATTCCTTACAAAAAAAAAAAAATAGAAAAAGCTTACCTGTTTAGCAGATGGCGTCATTCCAGCCTGTACAATGATAATTGCTCGGGTAATATTCTCTTCTTGCATTCTTTGGCAGTAAGTTTTGATTGTCTTAATTCCAACCTTAGCATCCTCAGGAAAGAACACGAACATTTGATCTGAATTTTTAAAAATATATACATAGTCTGATGATATTTGTAAGAAAACAGTTCAACAATTTCCTAAACTTCTGACATTAAGTATTTTCATTATACTACAAAATGACTGTCATTCCTTTAACTAGTGATTGGAGGTCCTTTTCGACAGCAGTTGCCAGTTTTACTTTGATGGATTGGTCAGCCTTGCCACTAAGATAGTAGTAAATAGTTGTGTCATCTTTATAAATACCTACATCAGTCGAAAAAACTACTGACAAAATACCTGGCAGAAGATATACTAAATTTTTCTTTAAATTTCAATTTTATTTATCAAAGCAATGGCATTTTGTTTCCTTAAATCAAACAATGCCAATATTTTGCTTTTTGAGATCTACACACCTTATGAGGTCAGATGAAAAGAAGGAGACATTTTAAAAAACAAGTTTAAAGGCAAAGAAATAATCTACCATTCCGCCTTTGGAATTTTGGCAATGGTAAATTGTGTAAGTTATGCAAAATGTTTAATCAGTATTGTTGTTTTTTTTATGGCTTATCAACCCATTGTGGGTTATTTAAAGTGGAAACATATCCCGAGGACTTAGTGTTCGCAAGTAGTACCCCATCTAAGTACTGACCAACACTGCTTAACTACAGTGATCAAATGAGAAGCAGTGTTCTCAGTGTGATTTAACCATGGTCATTTAATCAGTAAACAGACATAAATGAGAGAGATATGACAAAAATAGAAACATCGTACCTGTGGGGTCATCATTATGAGCAACAAGAACAATCAAGTCACTGCGTGCAGGACGACGCTCACTGGAAAAAAAAAAGAAAAAGAAAAATTAAAAAATGACATAAGATACATTCTATTTAATACAAAATTAAAAAGTCATAAAAAATCTGTTTTATTTTTTTTAAATACATTCCATAGTCCAATGTTTATTCCTACATATGAAATATAAACAAAAATAAGCAGCTTCACAAGATCCTAATCTTGCTGCTGATGACATAGAAGTACCTCAAATTTCATGCATTGATAGTTCTCTGGTAGATGATATCTTCAACAATACATCTGAGGAAGAGAGAAAGAGAAGAGCAATTCTTTTGCCAAAGAACTCAGACTGCCTCCTGATCAATGAAGAAGTTTTGAGACAACTTCCAGGTGACTGCTGCACCTATTACAGTACAAATAAAGTTTTGACAGATGATCATTCAGAGGCTGAGTGCTACTCACTTGAATTTCTAAACTCTTTGACACCATCAGGAATGCCTCCTAATATTTTAAAACCCAGCTCAATTGTAATACTTCTTCATAACATTTCTATCCAGAATGGAATCTGCAATGGTACAAGACTGGAAGTGGTGGCCATGGATCAACACTCAATTGAGGCTTCCTAGATTAGTGGCTCACTAATAGGCAGACTTGTCCCTTGGAACAGACTGAGTACTTTTCAGCACCCTCTTGTAAATTTAAGAACATACTGAATGACAGAAATCTTAAATAAAATCCAGCCAACTCCTATTTCAAGGACTATGATTTTGCAGGAATAAAGGAGCAAACTTCTAAGCTTAAACTAGTTTATATTGTCAAGATTTTTTGTATATCTAAAATCCCATTAAAAGGTGTCAAATCTTTAATTGCAGAAAAGGAAAAAAATAAATAAAATGTAGATCAAAATTGTCAGGGGAAGAATCAAAAGGAATTGGACGAGGGGAATCAAGGTTAGGTCAATTAAAAAAAGCTAACATCATCAAAACGAAATAAAGATTTATATGTATTTACAGAAACTAAAGAAGAGAGTATTAGCCCAAATAAATAAGCAAGTCAAAAGCATTTTTAAAAATATCACTTACCTGGGTTTATCACCAAATTGTTCTTTAAATTCATCTAAAGTTTGATCCAATTCATCCTGCGTCACAAGGTAACCACGATCATGACAGATCTGAAGAAATGGAGAGAAAAAAAAAAAAAAATCGATAAAAGTTAGTACACTAAATGGTAAAATCTGAATTAACTCACATGATAAATACAGTAGCCTCCACACTTGACCCCTACTGGATGCCAGAAATAATTGCAAGTAATAAACTCTACATTGTAATCACAATCCAATTCATCAGACCTACAAATTCAAAATTCCTTTTTGGATTTTTAGATCTGATGAATTGGATCATGATTCATGTAATAAATTATAACCATGAAATATTAGTGTTTGAGAAGTTTATATATATATATATATATATATTTTTTATATATTTATAAATATTTATTACTTTAAAAATGGATAGTGGATACTCATATTTGAGTAGATGCTCCATCCATAAAGAATGCACTTTCTGACAGATCTAATGATGTTTTCCTCTAGGAGTACATAGGTTTGAATCCTGCCAGAGAATGTATATTTTTCTCTAATAAGATTTCTTGAATATTCAGGCCACTAGACAAATAAATATACTGTTTAATAAATGAACGGAGCGTCTACTCAAATATGAGTATCCACTAAAAATAATGTTTAAGTAATAAAAATCTGTCAGATTGATAAATAAAACATCAGTCCCTTTCTTTAGAAATTGCTTTGTTTATGTTAGGATATGAAACTTAGCAGATATGTCTATTTTGAGAGTCATAGAAAAATCTGTATTTAAAAGCACTACTCAACTTTGCTTGTCTATCGAAGCACTCTGTGGCTGAGAGATTTAAAGCATGTCAGAATTAATGACAGTTCCTTATTGGTGAACACAAGTTTGAATCCAGAAAGCACATATTTTTCTCTAATGAGATTTCTTGATATTCAGGCCAGTAAACAAAAATAAATAAACATACTGTTTAATAAACAAACAGAGGGTCCACTCAAATATGTGTATTCACCAAAAATAACATTTAAGTAATAAAAATCTGTCAGAATAATAGATAAAACATTCATCCCTTTATATATATATATATATATATATATATATATATATATATATATATATATATAGAAGAAGACATTGAAGTCAACACCTAGATGTGACAGTGTTGACGTTCAGTGTGTGCCTCCCACATTTCGGTAGACACCGGTAATTACACCGCTCACTCTAGCGGTAGGTTCAAAGCTAGCGTCCAGCTTTCAGACAAAAATAAACAGAGTCGTAACTTTACGAAACTCTATAACAGTGCATGTCACCATGGTCCCAGCTGCACTGCCAGCCAATGTCCCAGACCAGTTTTATTGATCAAAAGCACGGTCAACGCACCAATCATCGCCATTGACCTTGTTCTCAATCAGAGTCCCAAGCTCGACCAATCAGCATGCAGACCGCCACATGACAAATCATGCCAAGCAGCATAAAATAAACAAATGTCGGAGAATGTACTTTTCTTGGACCAAACTTGCGAGAGGAAAGGATGTAGCTGATGAAATGACAAACTGTCTAGCTTGGTTTTATGCACATATCCGTCATAAAACAGCAGCCCGACAAGTAAAACATCTTGGACGCTTCAATTCTGGTAAGTGTGAATATGTATCATCACAGACAGTTTGTTACATGCTAAACACTATCATCAGGCCTGACAATTGCATCTCTGGGTGTTGACTTCAATGTCCACTTTTATATTTTATATGCTCTATCCCTGATAATGAGCACTTTAACCCATAAATATAGCATACCTTAAAAGTATATTATATGGCAAATTTTACAAAATAATAGCTCTTGTTGAGCTATTTAATGTTGACATCTTTTTTTTTTTTATTATAGTTAATAAACTGTTGGATTATCACCCACTGGTGATAATCACATTTTACATAATATTTGGAAGGCTCTTCCTCTTTTCCCTTTGACTTTTAGAGCAGCAACACATTTCCTTTCGCTACAACAGACACGAGGCATGCATGTACTTCAGAGACATAGACTGAAGATTGTATAAACTGTTCAGAACTTCAACCTTGTTTCTTTTTTTATCCTTACATAACATGTTTTGTTAATACATTTATTAATTGCTGCTTGTTTGAATTCCATGTTTTTATTACTAACATAATCTAAATACTCTTTGTGAACATTCTATATCTTTTATACTTTATAGCAACTCAGGATTAATTTCCTTTAGATATTAAGTATGTAGCAAACCCTGAAGATATTACTATATACCCTTGTCATATAATCTGGAGACTTTCCACCAATTGGAAGAGGAGAGAGAAGGAGGAACACAGTTTTATGTCATGGTGTGCGTTTTTTAGGTCCCCCTGAAAATATGTGGTTTTATGGTATATGGAGGATTGCTTGTCAGATGAGCAATTGCGGTGAATGTGCCAAATGTACTGAGTGATTGGGTCGTGAGTCAGATTAGCTAGGTATAGGATAGTAACTGACGACCAGCCTTCACCCATTCATCCTTTTAGGTCTTGTGCCACAATTATATATTTTATACAATCAATATCAGGAGGAATGCAGACCCCTTGTTTTTGTGACCAGGGTGCTTTGACAGGTTCTGTATTGAGTTACAGCCCATTTATTTTTGTCTGCCGACTGAATGCCAGTTGGAACTTTCCTGTCTACTCTTACGTCTGACATTCCTGGCCTTTATTACTTCCAGCTACCACAGAGCCTTGTCTTCTGGTGTTCTTACTTTACTTCCACCTTTCCTGACCTGTGCATTTAGTGGCCGTCATCAGCTTTCTATCCTGCATTGACCAGCACTGGCAATGACCAAAAGCTCCTACTACTTCTAGCATTTCTGGACCTGCTTATCCAATGGCTGCAACAGACCCTTACTGTAGGTTTTTCTAGACTTGTGCAGCTCTTTACTTCCAGCTACAAATGGAGAGACCATCTTTGACGTTCTTATTTCGACCTAACTCACCTGGTTGATCGGCATTAATGGACCTGCTCACAACCGCCCTGAACGCATTGGTCCCTACTTCCGGCATTCCTATTTCAACCTTTCTCACCCGGTTTGATGGGAAGTTGCTGCATGCATATCATCCAGACTTCAAACAACCTATTCCGTAAAGTTGAATTAAATACTATGGAAGATCCATCATTTAACCAGCAATTACCCGGACAATAACACAACATTGGCTTTTATTTCCACGCCGCTTCATCATGGATATCTTCAATGCCAGCACTGGACATTTAAACTGAACTTTTGAACTTTGCTTTTTTATGCCAACTTAACTTACCTGGACTCTACTTTCAACATTTAGTCACAGATATATTATCTTTTTCTATTTGGTCAGTATCTCAACATTTGCTTAATTATTCCACCATTTACTTGAGTCATTGTTGGTTCAGGTTTCTTTTTAGTACATTTAACTGAAACACTACTTTTATATATTATGTAAATAAATTTTGTATTAATTTAAGTTTGTCATTTTGTTGTCCTCGTTGATCTGTCAGAATCACGTCCTATTTTAAAATGTTAGCAGGCCTCTTGTGACTATTCTTGTTGGGACACACAGGCCATATATAGTTTATATCGCGTCTCCTCCAGGAGGGGTCGACTACAAGTCTTTTTTTTACGGGATGCCTAACCTATTTAGAAGTTCTTTTTTGATACGATCACGAATGTAATCTCAAAAGTTGGTACTTTCACAGATTCGCTAAAAAATGAGCAGACCATGATGGAAAAATGTTCAACGCAAAGCGAAGTTTTATCATCAAAATTTTCATTTGTAAGACCAAAGAATTTTATTTTTTTTTATTAAATTTAATTTTTTTTTTTATCCTTTTTAGAACATTAAAAAATGTTGTTAAAAATCTTGTTTTTCTTGCGTCAGTGAGAGGAGGAGGGCAAAGATTAAGGAAATTTTAGCTTCGTAAGAATTGTTTTTCCAAGTTTAATAATTAAAGTTTTTCACTTGAGCCATTATCGATAAAGGTTAAAATAAAAAAAAAAGTTATACTATCCTAATTAACTATAACACAAAGTCAAAACTTAATATTTTAAAATTAATTTATTGTTAATCGCTAATGAAATGTCAGTTCCAACAAATAAAAAACTCTTTAAAAAAATCACTAACACGTGGTTTTTCCCAAAATAACAGGAAACATAGCCGGTTTTTATTCTATTTTTGTTGTTTTTCTTACTGCAAAAGTAAAAAAAAGAAAGCCTTATTTATTTACCTGCATTATAGTCTTACGAATTCTCCATAATTTGTAAGTTTCTTGTTCATCATCCATTGTTTTTCAGGTTTTTTTCTGTGCCAAAATAATAATAATTTGCGTAGTTCACAAAATTTACACGTTTGAGAAGAAACTTCCGTTAACCATACTGAGCCGAAAATTTTAGTTTCGTAAAGGATTTTTTTTTTTTTTTTGAGAAAAATGATGAAATATTATTCCTTTTTATTCTTTCAAACACATGCACACATATTTATCACACTGTGGTCTATTTTTTATTACATCAGTTTGCGCTTACGTTAACTTTGATATTTGATTTCTTAATAAATTCGATCTGGATATGGCAACTGTATGGCGATTTTAGATGTGGCACAAGAAGCCCGAAAGTCTGGGACACCCAGTGAGGATCGAATTCACTCACTACTCAGTTAATTGTTCTAGCGAGACAAGCTTGCTAACCATGACACCACGTTAAAGTGTCCTAATGAATTTCTAAGTGTAGCTTAGATGTGGCACAAAGCCGAAAGTGTGGATCACCAAGTGAGGATCGAACTCATTGATAATGATCTCTCTCTAGCGAGACACGCTTGCTAACCATAAGTGCCCTGATCTGGATGTATATCTTTTTAAACTAAAGACTTTTTCGGTCGATTTCAATAAAGAAATGTTTTTATATGCGTGTTATTCGGTACGATAGAATTTTGAATTAGAAATTTACGATGCGCACATGAGCAATTTCGGACTAAAAACGAAAATCATAAAAACTCTAGTAAAAATTGTTATGTATTGGAATTAACATCCCTTCCCCATCAAATTGTAATGTAATCAAATTTTTAGACTTCAAATAGATAGCATAAAAAAAATTAATTTGAGTAATGGAAGTAGTTTTAGTTAGTAGCTGCTAAGTAAATGAAGTAAAATAAAAAATAATTGTAATTTTTTTAAATTTAAAATATTCGCAATAAAATTTATTATTTTTTACACACAATAAAAAATATTGAAAAATTATAATTCTGACACACTGTGTTAGTGTTATTTTCTGTTTTATTTCAATTAGGTTCCTCGACTAGTTTTTTTATACACACACGTTTGAACGGTTATTGCATCAATAAAGTTTTTACTATAAATACATATAAGTTGCACTAGTAGTTAAATATCTGGCATTTTAGTTTCGTATTTTAATTTATGTTTTAAGACAATATGAAAATTATCTTTTATTTATCTTTTTATTATTAATTTCAGAATTATTCTGATTTTTTCTAAATAAAATTTTTTCCGAAATAATGATTATATTGCAGTTTCGTAATAAAATCAGTTGTCTTCACTTCGTCAACGATGTATCTATTCAGTCGTTTGTTAGTGACCACTTTGTTTGCTTCCAGTCCGCTTCACGCTCACATGTCTAACATGGTAAGTACTTCAAAGAAAACAAATGTTGATTTGCGGCTGGGGGCCCTATGACTTCTTTGGGATTTTACTTTCTTTTAACCTTCCTTGATTTATTTTATTGTCCTGTTCGCTGATTTTGTCCTCTAATCTTGACTTTTCTTACAGTGTAAAACATAAAAATTAAAAACAATTACGACGACCGAGGTGTTTTAAAATTAATTTTGTTTTGGCTTAAATTTCTTTTGATTTAGTTCAGTTTACTCGTTTTTAGCTTTTTTTACTCCATTTATTCATTGTTAGTCTTTCTCTTTGCTGACTAAATAAATAATTAACTTTAATTTTTCTATTTGGGTGAAGGCTTGCGCCCCCCCCCCCCTTTTCAGGTTTTTGTTGGGACTTCACTACTTCACTGTCAGTATTTCTTTTTTTTTTTTTTTTTTAGTATTTTAAGAACTTACCTGGAACGGGAGAAAGCTTGTTTTAACTTTTAACTTAACAAACTTATTTAAAAAAAAAAAAAAAAAAAAAAAATTAAAACTGTCTTGTTTGAAATTAACAACACAAAAAATAGCAAATGGAATCTCCGAGAAATCTAAAATCCCCAAAAAATTCTAATTAATTACTTAAAACTTTTTGTTCCCGAAAAGACAAGAAAATTGAAACGTCTCCAATAATATTAAAAATAAAAAACAAACAGCTTCTTTCTTTCTTTCTTTCTTTTTTTAATATAAATATTTCCACAGAAAAACATAAAATTTAATTTTCCAATTCGGACCAGTGCACCTTTTCTTTTCTTTTTTTTTTTTCCTTTTTACATTAACTTTTTACTCCACCATCCATGTCTATCTATTTGCATGATCTCGAATCAAAAATATGTTTGCGCAAAAATCGGTTTATTAAATTTTTTTTTTTTTTTTTTCATTTTAAATACAGAAAATGTTAATTTCCAATCTCTTCAATTCATTAAAAAAAAAAAATGAATGTATATTTGAATGCATTATTTTACCACAATTAATTAGTATTTTTATCAACTAGTCTTAGTTATTTTACACTAGAGAGTAACGTACAGCATTATTTGAATTCCATTGCAGGACCCCGGGGGTGGAGAGATTAACTACTAAAATCCATATTATTAGCTGAGCTGAACATTAAAAAAATATATCATTTTTAAACCCTCGTTGCTTGTGACCTGAATTAATTTTTAAACCTAACTCTCAAACAATCTTCTCTTTTTTTTCAACCACTTGTACATGACTTAAATCTTACTCGGCTACACTAGGTTGCCTACTTCTACAAACTTGAGACCGAATAATTGCAACCCCCATTTTTCATTATTATTGCTGTCAGTCATGCTATCTTCTTGCTTGACCATTAACAATACCTTATTTCATGTGCAACAACATAGAAATGCTGAAACTTGAAACTTTGGAGAAAAAAATTATAAAAATCGGCAACTGAGTAGTCCCTGGATATTTTTAGTTAAGATTCGGTTAATAAAATTGAAGTAACAACCTGTAATATGAAAATTAAATTTTTAATTTTTTTTTTCCAATGGCGGGCATAGCCAGATTTGCTTGCTTCAAATCTAGAACATTCATTTCATTTGAAACTTTTTTTTTTTTTTTTTTTTTAAATTTTGAAGTCGTATTTGCCCCCAGACTTTAAGTACATCAGTTAACCAAAATAAAGACTGCTAAGGTAATTCTGGCTGCTGTGTAGCAAGTTAAAATTTAATACAAAAACTTTAAGACTATATAAATTATGAACTAAAAATGGACGTTGGGAGGAATATATGAAAGCAAAAGAAATTTTTTAAAAAAAAAAGCTGTATAACCTATAATTTTGATTTCCTGAACCTACAATTTTATACATATAAAATTTGAGGTCCTTCAATTCTCCACTTTTGCTAGTCTAAGTACCACACTTCATCCAACATACTATTATGATTATTAGGTGATGTGATTGTTGTCTGCTTGAAATTGACTTGCACAATAAGCTGTAAATATTTTTTTTGTAAGCTGGCCAACAAAATTTGGTATATGAGAAAGGGGGCACAGTGGAGTAATGGATAGCGGCTCTGATTGGGGAATCAGAGAGCAGAGTTCGAATTCCAGTTACATTCACTTATGTGCTAATGCCCTTGGGAAAGGTATGAATCCTCTTCTCCCCGTTATGGGTATGTAGCGATTTTTTTTTTTCTAAGCCTAGCTTAGATGTGGCACAAGGCTGAAAGTATGGGGCACCCAGTGAGGATCAAACTCACTACTCATTCGTAATTGTGCTAGCGAGACAGGCTTGCTAACCATTACACCGCCTCAGGTCAGGCCAAGTTCTATAGCTTTGGATGGCAACTGTAGAAAAAGATGGTAACCTGCTAGGGGGGGGGGGATCTGCCTTGTCAGTCATGTATCGAAAGATACATGATCGCCTAAACGTGTATCATGCATGGTACATAACTGACTAATGAGAAAGGAGGAGGATGGTGAGATATCTTCAAATTTCTGTAAAACAAAATTTTAATCACTGTCCCCACCATCAATACCCGAACAAAAAGTGGTTAAAAAATTTTGCTGAATCAACTCCAGTCTCTTTCTCTTCTGGTTGAACAGAAGAGATAATTGAGATAACCTATCCAAAGTTTGTTTTTTGTTTATATCATTTCACCTCAAGCAAGGTAATAATGCCACTAAGACGCAAGCACTACTAGAAATAGAAGATGATGAGGAGAAATGATATAAGCACAAGAATCAAGAAGGTGAGTGACATTGAAAGTTTAATTGGTGCTTACTGGTGCAATATGTCGTTTTATCTTAAACTGTCATCTACTTAATTGGATCCTTGCTGAATGTCTGACACTAGACAAAGCCTTAAGTTAAAAGAATTGGGTAGAAAAGGTAGGAGCTGAAAAGTTCTCAGCCCAAGCTATTTCCCAAAATCTGACCAAACATCACTTATGGCCACATGACATTGAAAGACCCATTCCTGTACAATTGCTGAAGTTGAGCAATGTTGAACCTGGTCAGTACCTATATTGTTAATCAATGAGCTGAGCTCAAATTCTGGTTGAGTACATTATATTCACTTATATATACCCTTCTTAGGAAGATATAAGTCCACTTCTTCTTTTCTCTCCCCCCCCCCCGCTCCCCATTACGTGTTAATTAGCAAGATGTATGTAAACGTGAATAAATCATCATTATTATATCCCCCCAAAAAAAAAGTTTTTACAATCTAAAAATTTTTCTGGCTTTAAATAACCTGTAAAGTCATAGAAAATGAATCTATCAATCAACATGACCAAACATCAGGAATTATTTTGGGACCTCCATTAAGGGAATGGCCCAGTGCCAGAAAATGCACATGCTATTTGGAATATTCAACGAAATGTTTTTCACGGAGACATTTTCTCAAATTTCTGTAACTCCTTCCTCAAATCCTCAAAGGAGTATTTGCCAAAATATTGACTTTTTTTTTTTTTTTTTTTTTTTTCCCAAGAATTTTCAGCTCCATGATTTCTAGCATCTAATGTACAAAACATATCATAATTTTCTTTAGTTTGTTTTTACTCATGATTCTAATTTCCAAGCTTTAAAAGTTTATTTTGAGAAAACGTGGGAGAA